TCTATCTATCTATCTATCTATCTATCTATCTATCTATCTATCTATCCCTGCTTACCTTCCTGCCTGCCTATCTATCATCTCTCTCTCTCCATCCATCCATCCATCCATCCATCGATCTATCATCTAACATCATCTATCTATCTCTATCTATATATCAATCTATCAGCCTATCTCTCTCTCTCTCTATATATATATATATATTAATCCATCCCTCCACCCATCCATCTATCCATCTTAGTAGGCGTGAAACGGATGTGGGTGCCCAGCCAGCGCCTGCCTGCTTGCACCCTCCGCCAGGCGCTCACCTACTTCCTGGACATCACCACGGCGCCCAGCCCTCAGCTGCTCCAGGTGTTGGCCACCCTGGCCGAAGACCGTGCCGAGCGAGAGAAGCTGCAACGGCTCAGCCAGGTAGGAACGGAGAAGCACAGGAGCGGAAAGGGACAGGCACCCTCCCACACACACAGAGGTCATCCGGTCTGACCCCGAGCAGGAGAACCCCTTGTGGACTCGTAGAGATCGGGAGGGAACTTGGAGGTCATCTCGTCCAACCCCCTTCCTGAAGCAGGACACCCTTACAGAGGATCAGTGAATGAGAGTCGGAAGGGACCTCGGAGGTCATCTCATCTGACGCCCCCCCCCCCCCCGCTTAAGCAAGAGGCCCTTGCAGAATTACAGAGTCGGAAGGGACTTCGTGGGTCATCTAGTCCAACCCCCCTGCACGAGTGGGAGCCCCTAGCCGAATCACAGAGACGTGATTGAGCAGGGGGGGTGGACTAGATGACCTCTAAGGTCCCTTCCAACATTCTATGACTCTGTAAGGCTCTTCTGCTCGAGTGGGGGAGGGTTGGACTAGTTGACCTCCGAGGTCCCTTCCATTATTCTCTAATGCCCTTTCCTCGTCCGAAGGTCACCCAAGGGGATTACCTTACCCCCCCCTTTTACCCCCCGACCGTCATAAACTATGAGTGCGCGGACCTTCCTTTGCGGAATAGGAGCCCGCCGCCAAGCGTCCTAATTTAGATTAGGACACTGGGACCATCGTAAGTCTGAAAACCACCCTAGGTCCCTTTCGCCAGTTCAGCTCCGCCCCGCTTCCGCTTCCCCCGTTTTTCGACTCGGTCGGCTGTCCCGACCGCCGATCCTTGCGCCCGCAGGACTCGCTTCTCTACGAGGAGTGGAAGTGGTTCCGTTGCCCGACGGTCGTGGAGCTGCTGGAAGAGTTCCCCTCGGTGGTGCTGCCCACCTCGCTGCTGCTCACCGAGCTGCCACTGCTGCAGGCCCGCCAGTATTCCGTCAGCTCCGCGCCCGACGCTTACCCAGGGGAGCTGCACCTCACCGTAGCCGTGCTCAACTACCGCAGTCAGGGTGAGTGGAAGAGGAGGGCATTGGGGCCGGGGGGGTGGTGCGGCTTGACGGGAGGAGAGCCGGCGTTGCCATGCCCCACGCGGGGCTATGATCAATTCGCCGTGGCCAATTCTCCACGGCTAACTCTCACGGCGGCCATTTAGCCGCAGGCCACTCGCTGTGGACAATTCCCTGTGGGACAACTTGGAGTGGGACAACTCACCTCGGCTAATTTGCCTCAGGGCAACTCGCTAGGGGACAACTTGGGGTGGCCGATTCACCTCAGGAAAACTCAGCCAATTTACCTCAGCACAATTTACTATGGGATAACTCACCACCGCAGTCAACTTGCTTCAGGACAACTCGCTAAGGGACAACTCATTGCGGGACTACAACACTGTGGCCCATTCGCCTCGGGACAACTCCCGTGGGACAACTCGCCATGGACCATTCGCCTCAGGACAACTCACTGTGGGAGAACTCGGGGCAGCCAATTTGCCTCGGGGCAACTTGCTGTCCGACAACTCAGGACTACCAATTCCCCTCAGGACAACTCGGCGCAGGCAATTCGCCTCAGGACAACTCGCTACGGAACAACTCGCTGTGGGGCAAGTCGCGACTACCAATTCCCCTCAGGACAATTTGTTGCAGCCAATTCACCTCAGGACAACTCACCGCAGCCAATTCGCCTCAGGATGACTCGCTACGAAACAACTTGCTGTGGGGCAAGTCGCAACAACCAGTTCCCCTCAGGACAATTCGTTGCTGCCAATTCACCTCAGGATAACCCGCTGCAGCCAATTCCCTTCAGGACAACTCGCAGCAGCCAATTCCCCTCAGGACAACTCGCTACGGAACAACTTGCTATGGGGCAAGTCACGACTACCAATTCCCCTCAGGACAATTCGTTGCAGCCAATTCCCCTCAGGATAATTTGGTGCAGCTAATTCCCCTCAGGACAACTCGCTACGGAACAACTTGCTACGGAACAACTTGCTGTGAGGCAAGTCACGACTACCAATTCCCCTCAGGACAATTCGTTGCAGCCAATTCACCTCAGGACAACTCGCTACGGAACAACTTGCTGTGGGGCAAGTCACGACTACCAATTCCCCTCAGGACAATTCGTTGCAGCCAATTCCCCTCAGGACAATTCATTGCAGCCAATTCCCCTCAGGATAATTCGGTGCAGCTAATTCCCCTCAGGACAACTCGCTATGGAACAACTTGCTACAGAACAACTTGCTGTGAGGCAAGTCACGACTACCAATTCCCCTCAGGACGATTCGTTGCAGCCAATTCACCTCAGGACAACTCGGCGCAGCCAATTCCCCTCAGGACAAATCGCTACGGAACAACTCTCTGTGAGGCAAGTTGCAACTACGCTAATATAAAACAACAACAACGATGGAATACAATCATCAAAGGATGCAACAGGAACCGGATGAAACGCGAAGAATACAAATTCAACGAATTGTTTTAATTTCTTTTTCAGAAATTAAATCAAATTGTCCCATTGTCCGGCGGCGAGTGGACTGGACGAGAACTGGCGGTGGGGGGGGGGGGGAAGAAGGGAATTCCGTGGAGCTCACGACAGGGTCTCGATTTTGTCCCCTAGATGGGAAAGGCCCGGTGCACTACGGAGTCTGCTCCACCTGGCTGTCCCAGCTCTCTCCAGGCGAGATGGTGCCCGCTTTCGTCCGAAGGTAAGGAAGCTCCTGATAGGCATCGGAGTCCTTCGATGTGGTTTTTTTCTTTCTCTCACTTCAACACAGGTTGGTCGGTGTTGCTTGTAGGGGGGGGGGAAGGTCACTGCGGTGGCGGAGGGGGAGGAGAGATGGCCTTTGACACTCCCCCATCCCATCTCTCTTCCCGCCAACTGGGAGCTGCTTTGTTTTCCCACCGTATCACGAGCTCAGCCTGGGATGGGCGGCCCGGGAGAGGCATTGAGTGCTCTGTAGTCCCTTCCGAGCTGCAGAGATCAAACCAAGCCTCTCCTTACAACAATTTTTTTGGTGGGGGAGGGGGAGGTAGTAGGGTAGACGGAGACTCCCCTGCAAACCCGAAGGCGGTCCGTCACCAGGACTACGCCGCGGAAGACAAGGTTGCAGCCGGGAAGGACAAAAAAAAAATGGGGGCTGTTCTTGGGAGACCAACAACTGTTTGGGCGCCACGTCGACAGGGGAGGGGTTGCTCCTCACGGGATGCCAATTTGTAGAGCGCTCCTCATGGGACGCCAATTTGTAGAGCGCTCCTCACGGGACGCCAATTTGTAGAGCGCTCCTCACGGGACGCCAATGTGTAGAGCGCTCCTCATGGGACGCCAACTTGTAGAGCGCTCCTCACGGGATGCCAATTTGTAGAGCGCTCCTCATGGGACGCCAATTTGTAGAGCGGTCCTCACGGGACGCCAATGGGTTAGAAAGGCTCCCTTCTAAATTAGTCATTTTGGCTTCCTCTTCTTGGCCCTCCTCACAGCACCCCAAATTTCCAGCTGCCGGAGGACCCCACAGCTCCCTGCATCCTGGTGGGACCCGGCACCGGCATCGCCCCTTTCCGGGGTTTCTGGCAGCAACGGCAATATGAGTCGGAGACGATAGGTGAGTCAGAAAGGGGGTTTTCTACCCCTGGCCCTGGGATGGGGATTGGTTGTGGGGGTGGGTGGGAGCTGGTCAATCCGAAGAGAGAGTTGGAAGGGAATCCCCCCGGAGGTCATCTAGTCCAACCCGCTTCTCAAGCAGGGAGACCGCAACCGAATTCAAGAGTCGGAAGGGACCTCGGTCTATATTTGAAGTCTCCAGGCCTTCTGACCTCCTTATTATAAGAGTGGCGCCTTTCCCCCCAAAGTCTCCACCTCTCTGGATGCCGTCTTTCCCGGGGTAACCTTACTAAGGCTTTACAAAGCGGTTACGAACCCTCCAACATGCTGTTGATTTTTTGGGGGGTTGGGGGGATAGGGGCCCATTGTACAAGTTGAGCCAAGATCTGTTTTTTGGGGGGGATCCCGAAGCTTTTGCTTCTGGGCTGTTGGCTCACTTGCCCATTGGAGGAGTCTGCGAAAGATACTCGCTGGATACTCGGGCTTCGCTTACGAAATGATGTGCTCGGGTTTAGTTTTGGGGGGAGGAAAATAAGAGGGGGGGGAGTGGAATTTTTGCCTCTGTCTACTGGCAACCATCGGTCTTCAGTTGGCTTAGCATCTTGTCAGTGTGTGTATGTGTGTGTGAGAGAGAGAGAGAGTGGAAGGCTGTTTGGAAACTGAAAGCGTATTGACTGGGGGAGCAAGGAGGAGACAGCAAGGAGCCTGGGTGTGGCTTAGCTCAACTGTTCTGGACGAAAAGCGGCTTGCGGCTGCGAAATTGAAACTCCTCTGCTTGTGTTTTGCATTGGGAGCGGATTTCTTTTCAGGCGGCGAGCGGGAGAACTCCTGAGCACCAGAGCCTAATAATAATAATAAATAATAATAATAATAATAATAATAATAATAATAATAATAATAATAATAATAATACAATAACGATGATGATGATATAGGAAATACTAATGATCGGATAGATGGTCATTTGGAAAAAAATCCTTTCTTAGTGAGAACCTATAAGCCAAGAGCAACATACCTGCCAAATTTCAAGTTTGTAGGATTTACAGTTATGGAGATATTGTGATGATGCGTGAGAGGCCTTTCACTTTAGATAGAGAGAGAGAGAGATACAGATACAGATATACAGACCCACATAGATATAGATACACACAGAGATAGATATAGATAGATAGATAGAGATAGAGAGAGAGATTAGATAGATAGATAGATAGATAGATAGATAGATAGATAGATAGATATACAGATATATAGACCTACATAGATTTAGATACACACAGAGATAGATATAGATAGATAGATAGAGATATAGAGAGAGATTAGATAGATAGATAGATAGATAGATATACAGATATATAGACCTACATAGATTTAGATACACACAGAGATAGATATAGATAGATATCGATAGATATAAATAGGTAGAGATATGTAGAGATTAGATAGATAGATAGATAGATAGATAGATAGATAGATAGATAGATAGAAGATAGATAGATAGATAGGCAGGCAGGCAGAGGAGGGAGAGAGGGAGAGAGAGACATGGAGAGAGAGAGAGAGGAGGGAGATATATAGATAGATAGAGATAGATAGATATATAGATAGATATAGATATATAGATAGATATAGATGCATAGAGATATAGATGTATAGATATAGATAGGTAGAGATAGATATAGATAGATAGATAGATAGATAGATAGATAGATAGATAGATAGACGATAGAAATGATAGATGATAGGGAGAGAGAGAGAGAGAAATGATAGATGATAGGTAGGTAGATAAATGATAGATAGATAGACAGACAGATGGACAGACAGACAGAGGAGGGAGAGAGGGAGAGAGAGACATGGAGGGAGAGAGAGGAGGGACATATATAGATAGATAGAGATATATAGATAGATATATAGATAGATATAGATGCATAGATATATAGATACATAGAGATATAGATGTATAGATATAGATAGGTAGAGATAGAGATAGATAGATAGATAGATAGATAGATAGATAGATAGATAGATAGATGATAGAAATGATAGATGATAGGTAGGTAGATAAATGATAGAGAGATGGAGATAGATAGATCGAAAGATTGATAGACATAGATATAGATATATACCCTTTTTCTCCAACAATAGTCT